ATGATTACGCCAGGTGTTTTTCTTTTGTGGTGATTTGATTAGTTGCGCCATAGATGCTTTTTTATTAAAAAAGCTCGGCAGTTTCACTGCGAGATGACAAGTTTTCTCATTTTGGTGCCCGCCATATCTCAGAAATTTTCTTCTCTAGCTCTTTGAGCCACTTGTCGTATTTAGTGCCAGTGCCTTACTCTCCGCCTCACTGTCGCTAAGTCGCCGACCAGCAACTCGAACATTTTCTCCATTTTGTGTGACAGTTTGTTTATCATGTCCTCGAGGACGTCTGTTTTTTTTCGTGCTAGAACGGGGCCTCTGACCTCTTTTTCGGAGTCATTTTGCTCTTTGGTCTTCGTCAGTGGGATTTTTCGTTTGGCGCCTGGTTGCTGTGTTTCCACTGCTACCATTTTACCTCCTCAATCTCTCTCCCCTGTGGTTTTGGTCGCTGGCGTGGAGAAGGCCGCGATGGCGGTTGGCGGAGGCGACGTCTGTATCTGCATTTTCATGAGTATTTCATTAGGTGTTTTCTGTAGTTCATCAATTTTTAGCTGATTCTCTGTTCGCTTTTTTGCTTTTTCTAGCTCCTGTCTGAGTAGCTTGTTTTCCCTTCTGCATTCCTCTATGCGTTTCTCTATGTCTCTGTAATTATCTCTAGCGTTACTTATTGCCGTACCTTGCCGAATCGCGATTGGTCACTACGTCTGACCAGCCCACCTTGCCTGGCATCTTCTGTTCTCCTCGCTGCTTCGTTGTCGCGTCGGGCGTCCTTCCCCTCGAGGTGGATCTCCGCCCGCTCCTGGTCCTGGGTCTGCTTCTGGACCTTGACCCCAAGCGACGTAGTCCCAGGCTCTCAGCCTAGACTTCGATCTGGATCTGGACCTTGATGTGGGTTGACGGGCTGGTTGTGTGTTGCTGCTTCCCCAGGTGTCCTGGTCTGGTGAGTCGGCTTCCCGCTGGAGTTCTTCCTCGTTTCTTCTCGCAGCCCACCTTCGTCGCTTTACGAAGTATGGCGCCTTAAATTTAGCCCTGCATGTCCGGTCTGCTGTGGGGTGTGCGTCTCCGCAGAGCTTGCACTTGGGAGTGCATTCATGGTTTCTGGTAGGATTTTTGTCACCACACGGGAACAACTTGTCTGTTGGTCTTGGGCACACATCGGGCCTGTGCCCGAGCCTCCCGCACTCTTTACAAAAGTCCATTTGCTTCCGGTAGAGGGAAACTTTCATCATGATGCTGTTGAAGTAAGCCTACATGGGGACCTTGTTGCCTTCGTACAGCAGTATCACGGTGGTCCTGCTCACCAGTCTCTTGGCGTACGCCAATGAAGGGTTCCTCGCGTTCACCAGGGCATGCATCAGCTGATCATGTGTGTACTTCAGGGGAATGTTGCGGATTATCCCCTTGGTCATGTGTTCCAGTGCCGAGACGTACGCGTTGGTCTCGTACTTCCTTCCGTTGATTTTTAGATCCTTGATTTTGACGAATTTCGTCGTCGTTCTCATCGGTGTGCTGTTCACCAGGATATTTTGTGTAGGGTTGGGGCAGATCGTGAAAATTTGGTCGTTGCTCACCCCTGCTTCTTGCCGTATCGCTTCGTCAAGGCTAGCTCTGCACGTGGGTCAATTCTCAGTCCGTTCTCTTGGTCTGACGATTATCTTGATGTCATCTGCAGGTAGCCTTGGCATCTTGCTTGCTTGTAAAATCTTACTCACGATGCTCTTCCCACCTCTGCGCGTTGGACTTCTCGAGTGGGTGCCTTTCTGTGCTGTCTCTTCGCCAGAGCTCACACGGCCCTTCCTTTTATACGTGACTTCGATCTAGCCCTCCGCGTCGCCGTCAGCGTCTCGCCTCGTTGGATCGCTATCGTCCTCTCTGGTATCATTACTTGGAGTTTCCCTCACTTCTGCATCATCTACGTCCAGTTCGGAGGTGCGTCCGATCCCTTGGCTTACAACTCGGCACCGTTGATCACCCTTCCCGAGTCCGGCGTCGGCCTTGTCGGTGTAGGCTTAGCTGGGCACACTTGTAACACGGGTGGTTTTTTACATCGAAAAAGCTTCAAAAACAGTCTCTTACCTAGGTTTTTAGTGTCAAAGCATTCGGATAGATCCGCTCTATCCGGCGGTGGTCGATTTCCAGGTTTTTGACTTGATAAAACTGCGGAACACATTCATAAAAGGCAGAGCCGACGTGAAGCGCGTCCGCAGCGTTGCGTTGCCCGGCAGCGTCTCTCACCAAAAGAGAGAGACGCAGTGGTGTCTGGGTAACGCATCGGCATAGTGTAATGTTACTCTGTGGCATCGGCGCGCAATGCAGCATGTCTCAGTTCGCGCCGGTTGCCGTCGGGCCGCGCCGATGGACGCTGGTCGCGCCTGGTGTCAGACTATGGAGTGCTCACGTTTCGCTAACGTAGCGTCGCTGTGCCCAGCGTGCGCGCACGTCAACGCTACAATGGAGTATATTGGGCCCTTCATGATGCGCTCGCGGCCGTTTTGCTAGCTTCACATATACCAAACTTGGTGTTCCGAGACGGCAATAGGGACGAAATATTTACTAGTGCGAACATCAAAATCCTGACACGCGTGTCATGTGGGAACATGACAACATACAACGCTCATAGCATTCTCGCGGCCGTTTACTAGCTGCACGTATACTGAATTTGGTATCACGTGACGTGAATAGGTGGCGAAGACATCTAAACATGATAATGATGACACGGAAGTCATGTACGGCATCATTTACCTCCACCTCAAAACGTTTTGCCGATTCATAGTGACATATCAAAATTTCTAATTCATGCTTCGCATATCATCGATTCCCACTGTACGTGGGATCTGCCATTTTTCTTTCTCCGAATTCAACTATGACATCCCTAACCCCCTTTGTTTTGTTTTTCACTCACTGTGCTCTCTTTGCGGCAATAAATAAGTATAATTCTGAGTATTGGTTAACGACCACTCTATCGTCCGCATGACTAACATTTGCGGGCGTCATCCTCAGTATATAGCCGATGTCCAAAATGTTCCTTTGCTTTCTTTACAAACTGGCTAGAGCAAGCTGTCGCTCAGGCCGACCTCTCTGCCTTCCTGTTAATAAACTTACCTCCTCCTGAATGGTTAAATGACAGGAACTTCATAGATGCAAGACCCAGATTGGTAACCAGGCTGGAACCGTCGCTTGTCTATGCCACACAAAAAATAGCATAGCCGAGTGTGGAGTAGTAGTGGCGATGGCAGTGGGTTATTTGCTGCCGTGAGGTGGTAGTATACACCTGCTGTATGCCAGGGTATGTTTCGATGAAAATAAAGTCTAACCTTAACATCTACGGGGTTTTTCTGTTTAGTGATTTTAAGCAATGTGGAGTCACTGCGACATATGAGCAATCAAGACTGTGCATGAATGCACGATAGCGTTGCAGTGCTTCATTTCAACCACCCGTTCACCCAAAACGCATATTACGGTACATAACTTTGAGAAAACATTTCGACGCCCGTAGGCACAACAAGAAGATGAAGCACAGGAGTGATATGCGAGAGACAATCTTTTCCTGTGCTTTGTCTTTCTTTTGTTGTTGCTTAGAGTTTTTCATCAAGCTGTTGCAAGTGCTACTTCTTTGCATGAGATGCACCGCCACGCTGGTAGCGTTCCACCACGGCCTCACCTTTCGTAAGGCCATTTGCGCTGGCTCACCGTGGCGCTGGCAGACGATGCATCGTAGGGAGCCTACATGACCACTTTTTCATGTAGGCTCCCTAATGCAACGCATGCGTTCAGCCTATAGAGTACGATTTACAGGACAGTGATCTCGTTCCCGCTACCTACTTACCGCAAACATCATTCGTTAACCTCCTCTCACTCCCTCTCTCTATGCGACCGAGTGAGCGACAACGCTTCTCGCCCTCTTCTCTTTGAACGAGCGTCCGTTTTCATTAGCGTCAGCAGGACGTCACCCTGGTGCTGCAAAATTGTGCTGCATAACGGCTTGACGGTGAGGGGTAGTGCTTGTTGGGCTAGGGGGGGGGGGGGGTGAGGGACAAGTGGCACACTGGCACTAGAAGTAGATGACGGCTGGTGTTGCATTTGTCCTCCCTGTTTCTCGCCCTCCTGCCGACGACGCCCACGTTTGTTTGGTCGCCCTCGTGCAGCTTCACTCTCGCCCCTCAGATTATATGACCTGCGTGACGCTCATACTACATCCCCTACTACTGCTACTGCTACGGTGCTGATAAAAAAATTGCCCGCAGCTTCCCTCGGGGGAACACTGAGGAGGATGCGGAGCATATAATTGGTTAACGGGGTGTTAAAGTGCGACTTACTTGTGTCGATGGCTAAATTGGTTAACGTGGTTGTGAAATGGGGTGTTAAATTGCGACTTACTTGGGTCGATGGCTAAATTGGTTAACATGGTTGTAGGAGGGTGTGTTAAATGAGTGAACACGTACACACGTATGCGAAAGGGCAGCGCTGGTCGAAGGGGCGTCGATCATTGTGTTTGTGGATTCGTTGGAATTCATTTCACCGCGACCTTGGACGTCGACGCGCCGTACAAACCAACCGACGAGCGGCAACTGAGCGAGCGAGCGCCGACGTTGAGTATATATACAGCGCGGCGGCGCATGCACTGTCACTGTCGAATGTTCGAGAAGGGAGAAGCGAAACGGCGCATGCGCGCACGTTCAGCTGGCGATGTTCCTCGAGCGCGACGGCGCTGCGCGCGTCACTGCCGATGTTCTCGAAGCGTGACTGCGCATGCGCGCTACTATACAGTGCAATGTTCGTGAAGAGGAGAAGCGCACCGGTGTGTAGAGGAGGAAGTGCACAGATGGTGGAGGAGTGAACGCGCGCGGTGTGTAGAGGAGGAGGGATGCACAGCTGGTGGAAGAAGGAGGAGAAGCTTGCGACGGCGCCGCACTACAATCCTCGAGTATTAGAGGCTCCGCATCTAAAACTTACAGCTTAGGCTAAGACAGCTTCATTGTAATCATCAATCATCTTCCTGACTACGCCCAATGCTGGGAAGTGGCTATACCGGTTCAACGATGGTGGGAGGCTGGACCGAGCAGAACCCCCAGGGAAGCCCCAAGTACCTGAAGCTTGCCCACTACGCAGTGTCCACGCAAACAGAGGGCGAGACAGTATACAACACGGTCCTCAACCTCACTAACGTCGCCACTCAGGTTAGGGTGGAGCATTGCTTATTTCATTGTTGTCTGTAAGTTTATTTGTTCACTGGCCGCTTGTGCAACCAAAAATCAGGCACGTGCACATGAATATTATAAGATACAAATTACCTTAAAGAGCCCCTAAAGTACTCTGAGTTCAGTGCCGAGAGAGTCATTTCTTTCGGTTTGGCTACCATTTCTACGAGCCCAATTTCTTTGTCATAAAATTTACGGACAATGTCAGGGCTAAGAGTAGAGTCCAGCAGGACTTCGCGCTTTCCCGCTACACGCTGTTGTTTCCGCCGTTGCAGTTGGAAACCTACTAAGTGAAGTGAAATCAGTTGATCGAAGACGATAGTCATGCCAGACAAAAAGGAAAGAGTGGGCGACTGCATGGTAAAGCAGGTGGGAGACAATTCACAACTGACATTTCTCGTATACATGTGGACCAGTCTAGAGTAGGTGCTCTGAGGTAACGTGAATCAGCGTTCCGAAGTGACGATGAGTGCCTAAACGACGAGAAACGCCAGAGAGAATAATTCGCTTGGTTTTGTGTTATCTGAGGCATTTTACGGACCCTATAAACAATTAGTTTTATGACTGGTGCTGCACTGTATAAACATGAATATGGTGCTTGTCGTGGTGAGAAATTTTTGAGTCAGGCTAACCACCCGGCGTTTTTGAAGATGTGAAATTGTCGGTATGCGGGCGCGTTTTTTTTATTTACATGCGGAGCCTGTTATACTAGGGGCTAGTCATGCGCCGTCGCCATCCGCAACCTCCCCTCCTCTGCCAGCCATCTGTGCTTTCCTTCCTCCTTTGAACACAGCGCGCTGCGCTCGCTTCTCCCCTTCACGCGCCGCGCGATCTTTAGTTTTACGTGTGCCAGCTGTATGCTACCGCGCGCATGCGCAGGCCGGGGCCGGCGCTCGCTATAAATAACCGAGTGTCGGTGGGGGGGGGGGGGGGCGCCACCTTTCGTCGGTTGGTTTGTGTGGTCGCTCCACGTCCGATGTCACTGGCGAAAATGTATGCTAACGAATCCGCAACACACTTACTGACGTCCCTTCCAATAGCGTCAGCCAATGTGTTGGCGGAACCGCAAGCAATTCCGAAGACACTTCGTCCGTGGACGAGGCCGCGCTGAGAAGAGCTCGCGATGCGGAACGCATACGTCGTGGTTCCACCAACACATTGGCTAACGCTATTGGAAGGGACGTCAGTAAGTGTGTTTGCGGATTCGTTAGCATACATTTTCGCCAGCGACATCGGACGTGGACCACAATCCATCTTGCTCAACATACCGGGCGTCTCATCAATAAACATCGTCTTTCGCAGCATACGTGCGTGCGTGTTCACTCGTGTTCACTTATAACACACGCGCATGCCGCAAATTACAAACCATTTATTGATTGATTGATTGATTGATTGATTGATGATTGATTGATTGATTGATTATATGTGGGGTTTTACGTCCCAAAACCACCATGATTATGAGAGACGCCGTAGTGGAGGCCTCGGGAAATTTCGACCACCTGGGGTTCTTTAACGTGCACCCAAATCTGAGCACACGGCCTACAACATTTCCGCCTCCATCGGAAATGCAGCCGCCACAGCTGGGATTCGAACCCGCGACCTGCGGGTCAGCAGTCGAGTACCTTAGCCACTAGACCACCGCGGCGATGTAAATTACAAACCACATTTACCACAGTTCAACATATATGCTCCGCATGCTAACCAGTGTTCCCACCCGGGAAACTGCGGTTATTTTATTGTTGTCTTTATGTTTATTTGTTCCCTGGCCGCTTGTGAAACCAAAAATCAGGCACGTGCACAAAAATATTGTGAGATACAATTTACACTAAAGAGCCCCTAAAGTACTCTGAGTTCAGTGCCGAGAGAGTAGTTTCTTTCAGTTCGGCTACCATTTCTACGGGCCCTATTTCTTTTTAGCCGCCTATTTTGTCATAAAAATTACGGACAATGTCAGGACTAAGAGTAGAGTCCAGTAGGACTTCGCGCTTTCCCGCTACGCGCTGTTGTTTCCGCTTGTGCAGTTGGAAACCTACTAAATGAAGTGAAATCAGTTGATCGAAGACGATAGTCATGACAGACAAAAAGGAAAGGGTGGGCGACTGCATGGTAAAGCAGGTGGGAGACAATTCACAACTGACATTTCTAGTATATATGTGGACCAGTCTAGAGTTCGTGCTCTAATTAGGTAACGGGAATCAGCGTTCCGAAGTTACGATGAGTGCCTAAACAACGAGAAACGCCAAGAGAGAATAACTCGCTTGATTTTGTGTTATCTGAGGCATTTTACGGACCCTATAAACAATTAATTTTATGACCGGTGCTGCACTGAATAAACATGAATATTGTGCTTGTCGTGGTGAGAAATTCTTGAGTCAGGCTAAGCACCTGGCGTTCTTGAAGATGTGCAATAGTCGGTACGCGGGTGCTTTTTTTTACATGCGGAGCCTGCTATAGGGGCTAGTCATGCGCCGTCGCCGTCCGCAGCCTCTCCTCCTCCTCTGCCAGCCATCTGTGCATCCCTTCCTCGTCTCAACACAGCGCGCGCTGCGCTCGCTTCTCCCCTCCGCGCGCCGCGCGAGCTTTAGTTTTACGTGCGCCAGCTGTATGCTAACGCGCGCATGCGCAGGCCGGGGCCGGCGCTCGCTATAAATAACCGAGTGTTGGGGCACGCCGCCCTTCGTCAGTTGGTTTGTGCGGTCGCTACACGTCCGATGTCGCTGACGAAAATGTATGCTAACGAATCCGCAAACACGCTTACCGACGTCCCTTCCAATAGCGTCAGCCAATGTGTTGGCGGAACCGCAAGCAATTCCGAAGACACTTCGTGCGTAGACAAAGCCGCGCTGAGAAGAGCTCGCGATGCGGAACGCAAACGTCGCGGTTCCACTCACATATTAGCTGACGCTATTGAAAGGGACGTCAGTAAGTGTGTTTGCGGATTCGTTAGCATACATTTTTGCCAGCGACATCCGACGTGGACCACAAATCCAGCTTGCTCAAAATACCCAAAGCGTCTCATCAATAAACATCGTATTTCGCAGCATACGTGCGTGCGTGTTCACTCATAACACACATGCATGTCGCAAATTACAAACCATTGATTGATTGATTGATTGATTGATTGATTGATTGATTGATTGATTGATTGATTGATTGATATGTATGGTTTAACGTCCCAAAACCACCGTTGGATTATGAGAGACACCGTAGTGGAGGGCTCCGGAAATTTCGACCACCTGGGGTTCTACAACGTGCACCTAAATCTGAGCACACGGGCCTACAACGCTTCCACCTCCATCGGAAATGCAGCCGCCGCAGCATTCGATCCCGCAACCTGCGGGTCAGTAGCCGAGTATCTTAGCCACTAGACCACCGCGGTGGAGCTTGCATTCACTTAGGGTCATCATCAGCGTAGGTAGCGTTTGATAAGTAGTATAACTTTAGTTTGTGGAGCGCAATCAGCTGGAGTAGGATTGTCTCAACGTGGGCGCCGAATCGACTGTTACTGGCCGCTATGTTTATCAAACGCTGAGAAATTCACCGTTCCTGGGAGCACTTTGCCGTCGTCATTTTTTGGTTTATCTAATTTTCCTCAACTTGACGTTCGTGTGCTTTTCTTTCTCACATTTTTCTATTAGTACTTTTTGATCAAACACCATATCAAGCTCGTTTTTTTTTGATCAAATTCTTTTTCTTTTGTCATAAGGAATGACAAACCCCTTCATACGTCAACACTGCAACAGTTACGTTTATTTTTTTACGATTACTTTCTTTAGCGATACTATTTTTACGCGTGACATGCATGAACTGAATAAATAATAAAAACTCCCATAGATCCTTATGAATTTGCTTACGACGACCCAAAACAAAATCCACCTTATTCCTTTCCTCCTAAAGTCGATGTATTGATCCTCCCCCGCATCTCTATGAAAGCTTCCTGCACCTGGCGTGGTTATGCACTGCCTTATAGATCAGAGGCATTTCGAGCTTTCTGCACCTCCCTTTGGTTTTGCAGTGCCTCCGTCATTACCCTGGATTTGCCTAAACGACGCTGTCATTTGATGACGTCATGGTGTGACACCACGTTATGGCACGTCAGAGTGCTGTCATGGTGGCGTCACTGATTGTGCTGATCTGAACCAACATGGTGCCGTGATTCGTTGACGTCATCACGTGACGCTTTTTTTTTGCATCACTGGAATCGAGGGCGACAATCAATGTACGTGTTTCGTGAGGCGCTTGAGTCTTTCTCTTTAAAACAGTTCTACCGGCAACAAGCCACAACCGTTCATCCGGGGTATCTGCAGAAGTTTTCAAAACCGTTGAATATGCTCCGACACCTCTTAAAATATAATTTAATGTAGTCCTGTTTAATGTTTTCGCCATATGTGCCCCATAGTTATTACGTGTTTTGAAATTATTACCTCAATTTTCTTTAAAGTCGTCTGATACCTCGGTTTTTTGCAAGGTCCACGTTGTTGTTCGGGAATTTTCGGTTCTCTGGCTCGTTGCATACCTAGAAGTGGATTCTGATTCAAGTAGCGGCTAATGTATATCGGTTGATCAGAGCGAAACGCAAGAACACTACAGTGATGTTCTTTGTATGGCCTTAAAGAAAGCCCAGGTGCTTAAATTATTCGATAGCTTTTCACTACACCGTCAGTAAAGTTCGATGTTGTGATGTTAGTATCGACAGCCCCTTGGTGATCCAAGTGCGCGCTGGAAACGAGAAGGAAGAGCCAGAGTCTGGTTGAAGGCAGCGTTTATTGCACGACCGTCCACTCGGGCCACGCCCAACGAACTCTCTGTTCCGTCTTCCGACACCGCATTTCCGCGCATTCGAAAAACAATCACGAAGAAAAACAGTGTGTACCCTCCCCCTCTTCCTTTCTCTCGGCAAAGAGAAAAGGCATTCTCGGGACACTCTTTTTCGGGCGCACCACCTGCACCGGCCATTATCGCCGACGGACCGTAACCTGATCTCTCGCTTCTGCTCCTCGGTCGGGCCAGTCACGTGACCCGGACTGCGGCGCTCGCCTGGCCGTCCCGAAATCGGCTGCGGTGGTTTGCCTCCCCGGCACGAACTCTCGAAGCAGTAATTCAGGGAAACCGTGACCGCCTTCAAGCCGTCACTACCAACGACCCTCTTTCGTGTCGGTTCCGTGGATCCGCTGCCACCTTACAGCTCGAACACGTATTATAAGAAGCTTACACACTCTGATACTGACTGTCTCTCATGAGCGATTATGCAGACTCAATACGTTAGACCATATGAGCAAAAATAACACCTTTTCACCCTTACATTTGTGCAGGTTGTGGCTGGCGTGAACTACAACCTGACCTTCACTACAGCGCCGACCAACTGCAGGGTCGGTCAAGTGCAGTATTCGGCGACTCAGTGTCCTCCAGCCGGACCGGTAAGCTACCAGGCCAGTGTGCCTCTAAATCAAGCAACTATACCCGCTTAGTAGACAAAGCTGAAAAACTATACACAAGTCTCACTCAAGCATGCTCGACTGTGTAAGGAGTCGTTCCTGTATATCTTCTAAGCTTTCTATGGCGTAAACAGGCTTCATGAATTTAAATCCAAACTCAATTGAGTGCAAGCTTACTTGAAGTCTACAGTTTGTTACTGCCACGCTTGAATCCTAGGCGCTCCTGCGCCCCTTGTGATTGCATCCCTCGGAGTTGTCTGTAACCCAATCGTTGAGCTGCATCAGCTGAACTCGGCCGATTATTATCCGATGTGCTGTTTACCTAGTTCGAGTTGGCGACGCATTTCTTGTAGCGATCACGCATGCGTAGCTGTAGTAGCGATTGCGCGTGTGTCATGCCCGTACGTTGTTTGCCTGTTGTGCATAGATTCGATGTCTCGTTTCAAGTAATGCCTAAAGGGACTACGCGCAGGGTAATCCGCTTTCTCTGGTGCCCCATTTACGAGCTAGTTTTCGTCATCATCTAACGAGGTGCGTGGTCATTACACGTTGAAGTCTGAGACGTGTAAGGTCTAGCAATTTGTCGATAGTTCAGGTTTAGTTCAGATTGAGGTGTCACGTTTATAGAGGGCATGAAAGCTTGTTAGCCCTATTTTCAATACTACAGGTGACACATTTTATGGCACGGTATAGCAGCGCAAGTGTTGTACTGCACGAAGAATTCGAAGGGGGCCTCGCCGTCGTGGTCTAGTGGATAACGTACTCGGCTGCTGACCCGCAGGTCGCAGAATCGCGGCTTCAGCGGCTGCATTTCCCATGGAGTTGGCACGTTAAACAACCCCAGGTGGTTGAAATTTCCGGAGGCCTCCACTACGGCGTCTATTATAATCATATCGTGGCTTTGGGACGTTAAACCCCACATATCAGTCAATTCGAACAGCATTTCACTCATTTTAACGCGACAGCGTTAAAGAGTTCACTTCGTCCAAATTGCGGCCTCAGCGTCGTTGGTTGCAAGTGAAAACGTTATTCTTGTGTGACCAGTGAATAGATGAAGGCGAAAATAAAAGAAACATAAAAAATATTAGGTTCGACTAAGAACTAAACCCAGGCCAAAGTTTTTTTTTTTTTTTGAAGCGCTTGTAACATTGCGTGGCGGAAGCATATAATTGTGCCTGGCTTCAAAGCTTGTGAAGGGGACATGGTAGCGTAAAACATATTTTAAAAAAATCACGTTTTGGTATTTTGGCAATTTCTGAAAGGTGGCCCTTTGTGCATATTTTTCACATTAATACTTTTCTTAAACAGCGATTTTTGTAGCTCAAAACTCATTTTTCCGAAAGCAAGTAAATAATAGAAACGCACCCTAGCGTAAGCCCTTCGTATGTGCTCTGTTCTTACGACCTCCCATTTTAATAAAAACATAGAAAAAATGTTCATGCACGAAAGTCAGAATGCTTGTCTAGAGTCAGCTGCGTATAGAAAACTGTCAGGTAACTTATAAGGCACTACGATGACACTGTGCGCCTTTATAATCACACTTCGCCTTCAAAGCGCATCGCTTCAAACACTTCCCACTCGTAGCTTCATAACACTTTGTGTTTGTCGTGCTTGCCAGTAAGCTTGAATGCTGGAGGTAAAAAGGGTTTTCAGGGAGAGTGAATTTCACCGCAATCCATAGAGTTGTCTGGTTAATGGGAATAAATGCCAGTGGCGCACTGAGCCGCTGAACCAGCAAGCACTTCATTGTTGAACTCATCAGCCTTCTAAGCGTCCTTCGAGGCGAATCACGTGCATCAGACAACGAGTATGCTCTGATAGACGACCATTACTTGTGATGCAATTAGAGTGAATAGCGCTTGAGGGCGACCCGGTTTAGAAAAAAAGAGGTGGTATGAAGAAAGGCAGGGAAATTAACTAGAAAGCAAGTGTCTGGTTTGCTACCCTGCACTGGGGAAGGGGAAATAGACCTGGTGTAAGTGTTGAGTTATTGGGAATTGGGTCGCAGAGTTTTTGCTGTTTTTTTTCAGGTTCACAGTCATAAGAATGGTGACGTTGGATATTGTTCTTGCATTTATTGATGGCAGTATCACACGACTCGAAATTCTGAAATATTTAGGATTGAAGCCAGACCAAACTAGAGTCGATATGCTGGAAAACGTTGACCACACTCTATGATACATTACGGATAAAGGTGCATCACATATCACAAAAGTAAAGAAGCAACGCCAGCATTACAAGAGGCTCCAAAGTGAAAAATTGTCAATGGGACCAATTACCAAGCTTAGAGCTAGTGAATAAGGTAGTCGAATAGTGTTTGGTGGCAAAGTGTGATCACTTTTTTGCCGTTTTCTAACTTTAAACTCGATTATCCCAAAACCATGTTTTTATTACTTAGGTACCGCTATTTTCAAAGTATTTCAAGATAACCAGTTGATTATGTTTTTTTTTGTATTCGGCATAAGTGGAAACAGCTGCTGATGTAAAGTTGAAGGTATGCACTTTCGAGTTTTTGTAAAGTTTCTTATATGCCCAAAAGTCAACCCAAACGTTTGGTCACAACGGTCAAGAATTCACGAAAATTGTATTATTGTCCAGATTTTCATATTTAGGCTTCAGTAAAAAGAGTAAAAAGTTTGGAATAAAATGATGCGTAGCTTATGCGAACATTCCTTCTAATAACTGAGAAAGTAGCAACTCAAAATGACCAGAAATGCATGGGACGTGTAGGGCTTACACATTGCCTTCAAATGCGCAACAAGTGGTGTTTTGAAGGCGCACCGGTTACAAAGCGCTCAGTTATATTTTATCATCATCAGCTGCAAAAGAATCCACAAAAGTAGCAGCTGCGTAGGCTCGCGTGTTGCCTTACGGACGCGTAGGGGGCCCTTTACCGGTCGCAAATGGAAAAATTACGGCGTAGTGGGCATTTCACAACTGCACTTGCATTCGGCGTTCCAGGATAGTTTGAAACAGTCAGTGTTACCCTCACAGGAATTAGTCTGATTGTGTCACGGTTGAGGCATGCACCGAAAACCGAAGCTAGGCTACCAATTGCGCACAGCTCAATGCACAGCTCACAGCTCAATGCCCCAATATTGTCACCCCATCATCCTGTATTATCACATGTACTCACTGAAAAATTTCATTTCCCACGACAGGTGAACGGAAAGTGTTCGGCGATCGTCTACGTTGTTCCTTGGATGAACACAACCCAAGTGACCAGCTACACATGTTCCAGCGCAACAAATTGAAACCCACAAAGTCAACGCCAAAGCTATCTACATCTAACAAGCCCAAAGAAAAGTAACATGTGGTCCAAATCGGAACAAATACGAAATTTGAACAAATACTGTTTTTTTTTTTAATTTGCGTATGACGTGCGATCAATTACTGAAGAGAACAAAAATAAACTTATTCTGATTTGTTGTTTTTCCTTACTCTAGCTGCTGGGACCGACAATGCTGTGCCTAATGTTATATTCACTACCCTGCACACGCGATATTTCCAGATGTTATTGCGTGCACCCGTATAACAGTGCCAGCACAATAGCTCTTAATATATATGTGTGTGTGTGTGTGTGTGCGTGTGGCTGTGTGTGTGTGTGCGTGTGTGTGCGTGTGTGCGCGTGCGTGTGTGTGTGTGTGCGCGTGTGTGTGCGTGCGTGTGCATGTGTGCGTGCGCGTGCGTGTGTGTGTGCGTGCGCTCTCCAACGGTAGAAATGACTTGGCACTGGTGTTTTCAGATACGGAAGATGATGTGACAGTCTTGCTTAAACGGCTATTTCGCATCAAAGCTCTAGAGACTATCACCACCAACCTTATAAATATGCAGTTGAAGTAGCTTTTTTACTGTATCGGCCACGATTTGTTCCTTTTACCGCGCTTTATTTTACCAAGTATGGATCACCAACTGGCCTGAACTTTTACTCTAAAGACCACGAGCTGTGTAACCTAAGATGTACTTCGTACCGAAATGTGCACGTGTATTCGGTGTAGAGCAGCATTTGTAGTCGTATCGTTACCTTTTCGGATACATGGCGTACAATGGGGCTGCCGTGAACAATTGGGTCGTTATCAAGCTTGCAGAAGAACAATCCTATTTATTTTGTCACAGGCGTACCTCGTTAGGAAAAGGAGAATTCATTCTTCACTCTCCCTGATTTTTTTTAAAATTTTGCATGTTTATAAATATACGCAGACATGTAAACGCACCCATGAACGTACATATATAAAGTATGAATGAACTCCGTCAACAACAACAAAAAACATTCATGGCTACAAATCAGTGATGGGTCAACCGTTGTTGGCTAACTTGATGGCATAGCCCGGAGAATTCGTAGGTCAGAAAAAAAATCGTACGTGTGGCTTTAAATGGAGCTTAAATATTCCAACTTTGGGAAACTATGCCGAATTCGCCACAACAAGCCCCGTTGTATCATGTGACATCACTACGCAACAATCGTATTATGAAGCTAATTAGCTAAAAGGGTCGCAGATGAATACTTTAACAATTTTTGTGATAATTTCCTAACGCCCAGGCACAATCACAGAGCTAACCGGAACTATAGTATATGCGATGAATAGCGTGGACGGATGTATGTCGTTCCCAGCAGTTGCACATCAGAGAGTAACTATCTAAATGAGGACTTCGAGAAGGGAGGTGAGTAAAACGAGGTCCAGCTCTTCGTGGAGGACAGTTGTACAATGCACAGCAAACGGCGAGGGCTTGTTGCCTCCTCTCTCACCACCCATTGTTTGAATACCCTCCTTGGCTCATTTTACCAGCACATTGTTGCGGTGACTGTAGTATGTTAAGGCAGAAGCGCGTTTGTACGCCCAGCGCGCAGTCAGTGCTACTGATAACTGCTAGTTAGGCCAATCCTAAGGTAGCGTCGTATAACGACAGAAAAAACAATATTGACGTTTTCTTTTAATTCGAAACCCGACCCTTATAGGCAGTATCGTTAGTATCAAAAACATTTATCCAAAATTTGTTTTGTCTAAAATGTTCCCAAACACTTATATTACACACAGGACTTGTTGCGTTGCTGCGGAAACCTAACAATAAATAGCACAGTTCATTCCAGGTGTGTCGACACCACGCCTACGCAAAAGAAGCACAATTCTTGCGGTGTGAAACGTTAGACTTCCGTGAAAAATAATAATAATAAGTTGTAGCGTTTAAAGCGCCAAACGTACGGCACGACTGTGAGGCATGTACACCATAATGAGTGACTCAGGATTAAGCTTGACAACGTTCAGTGGTTGTGTATAATACACCCTAAGCAAAAGTGGATGGGGATTTCTTACAGTTCAGTCCGCCCGGTGGAACAGTCAATACTGTGCTGGGCTGCTCGACCGATGATCACAGGTTCGATCCGGCCGCGGCGATTGCATTTCGATGAAGGCGAAATGGTTGAGCACCGTGTACTCTGCAATGTCAGTGCTCGTTGAAGAACACCAAATAGTCGAAACATTTCCGGAGTCCTCCACTACGGCGTGTCTCATAACCATATCGTGGTTTCCGGACGTAAAAGATAACGAATTCGTTTCTTACGGTTAGGACTCGTCGAACTGCTGCCGCCACACCTAACAAACGAACGCACCATGTCGTGCTTACAAGCATCGTGACATAACCAAAAAATATTCTGTACCACGTGCTACATAAAAAGACTTAGCGGAACGTGTCACCATTGGGCATGCGTCAATTGGCTGTGATGGCAAGTCGAACATAATTGTCTCACGCGCTTCCCACATCATAAAGGCATCTCCAGTGCACCTGAAGTTGATAACGCGTTAAAACTCTATTCATCCGGATTACTCCTGCACATTACTACTCAGAGAAACATAAAAGATTGGCATGTGTGCCCTGCACAATATTTATCTGAGCTTTTTATCATTTTCGATCACGTATGCGTGAGCACATGTGCGCATGACTTGAAAGCGCACCCCATGCTTTTCATCGGAGGCCTTTAGAACATCTAAACGTGACTCTTTGCAGCGTCACCATAAGGTCAAATACTAAAACAGCACGATTCATTGACTATCCGCTCACAATCTTCCCTATCACACTTCGCTTCACAATCCTCATAGTTAACAAAAGCCTCGGCACTAGAAGGGCCTTATAAAACGAGTCAGCCTGCTCTTAAGTTCCGGGCTTCCCCGAACCGATTTCAGCGAGAAAGTTCCCCTCCGAGGAAAACCGCATAGCTCGATCGCCATGTTCAAATTCGCCCTACTTCTGCTGCTGTGCACGCCAGCCATCAGCTCACATAGGCCAGACCTCTTCAGAGGCTGCGTGCCGACCTCTGAGAACCACCGAACGACGCCGCACGCGTGTATCGTGGTACCGACGAGCGAACTGAGCACTCATGGTGCGTTCTACACGAAGCTCGCCGAGTCGGTGCTGCAGAAACCCTCTAACCAGTTGCATCCGAAGTTTTTGAACACAGTCTACAACGTGACACGTGCCGCGGTCAAGGTGAGCGGGCCGCTTTTGAATTTATACCTTCCGGTCACACCGTAGCTATGGCATTGCACGTACGCGTCCGCTTCAGCTACGGGAGGTGCGGGGTTCGATCCCCAGTGCCGGCCGGCCACCCACCGGTAGCAAAACAGGGTACAGGCGGGCTTCGAGGGGCTGTGACGCGTCGCCCCAGTGGTGAAGCTTACTCTGCCTGGATACTCCCAACACGCTGCGTGGGGACCCGGTACCTTCCGGTCTCGAGAACAATTCTTCCGCTTTAGAATCGTCATTGGTTAGTAATGATAGCTGGGTTTTTAACGTTTCAAAACCTCCGTATAATTATGAGAGACGGCTTAGTGAAGGGCTCCCGCAGGAAAAGCTCGCGCATTTTCCCTGCGCATGACCAACCTCCTTATACGCGCAGTAACGTCAACTTGGCGATGGGTGACGTGACGCAGCTCGTTGATTGGTCTAAGCAAGGTTTCAACAAGGAGCTATAAATTCAACGTCGCCGATTGCCGAGTTGACGTCATGGCGCGTGGAGGACGGTTGGTCAGGCGTACGAAAGATGGGCGACCTTTTCCTGCACGTTTCGGAGCCTGTTGACCGGCCCTTTACAGTGCACTCAAATCTAAGCACACGGGCTTCAAACATTTTCGCCCCCATCTAAAACGCAGCCGCTGCGGCCACGATTCCATGCCGCAATCTGAGGGTCAGCAGCCGTGTGCCTTAGCCGCTAGACCACCGTGGAAAGTATGGTCTCTGGCTACATATTGCATTTGAAAAATTGATTTGCTGCACAAACATGAAGGAAAACAAGGGATAAATCAATTTTTCAAGTATGCGCCAACTATTCTGCAAAAAAGTAGCATTGCTTCTACATATTTTACTCCACGATATTGTAGCGAAGTGGCTAAGGTCAGCTGTGCGTGACTGTGTGTATTATACCGCCGGCCAACGCACCAACACTTCATTGTATATAGCTAAAAAAGCCCGCTTAATCAGTTTCCGAAACACCACGTGTGCCCAAATAAGTCGATTGTTCTCGTTCTTTCGGCATTTATAACTTTTTGCACGAAGAAATTTTTTAATGATTTTTTAATGACTACGACATCAAGGCGGGTTAATTCACTGTTTTCTTTGTAGCTGCTAAGCACAGCTGAACGCGGCAACATGTAGGCCTCGTAATTATTTTTATACGGTCTATGCTGTCAACTAGAACCATTTTTCACTGATTTTTTTACTTTGTTTTAATAGTTTGTTTATTATGTAATACTAATAACCTACTATATCTGGAAGATTACCGCGTCTCTTTAGAACATACTTGTTGCATCGGCCTACTGGTTTCTAGAAACTAAATATTCCCTTAAATCCCGTCCAATTGTTTTTTTTTTCTTGTTGCTGTCCCTGCCTGGCCCATGGCCCATGGCCCTCACTTTTTTCGTCTTCTGTTGCGACGTCTCGTCACTTTCTGTAACCGCAAATGAACCTCAATGAAACCAAGCATAGCCAAGGTTTCTGTATCACGAGAAGCTCTTGCTGCCTATGGTATCCTAATGCTTTGCCATTTCTGTTCCCATCCGGTGTGACTCTTTAACATATCTCCGAGTCAGATCTCATGTGGGCACTTCGCATCTTTTTTCTAGCATTCACGAATGCTGTTTTCTTCGGGACAAATATTTTTAATTTTAATTTCTTCACGAATCGCAGAATGGCCATACCCTTGTCGAATCTAGTACTTTTGCGAGTATAGTTTGGGTCCCTCGGTCAACTAATGCAACGTTAAACTATAATCTACACTAATTTTAGTCGCAAACTGTGTCATTCAAACGGTGCTGTACCGAATTCATGTCTACCGCTTATAA